CTTGTTGTCGTTTTGCACGAACAGCATCCCCACAAAAAGCCAAAAAAAAAATATCGACTCCACGTGGCCCTAGAGTACTACAGCCCTCGCTCCACTCCTCACCAGTTGAAACGAATCTGCTTATATAATACAGGAAGATACATGAAAAGCAAACAACAAATCTACCTAAAAAAACAACAACAAACGGATGACTCTAGCCCCTCGTTTGTTGTCCTCTTCTCTCTCTCTGCCTACGGTTTTACCGGGCAGTTCTGTTTGTGACAATATATATATTATTATTTTTTTTTTTTTAGAACGGATGACTCTGAACTTCGCTGGACTTCACTGTGCTATGAACTTGTATTCGAACATGTGCCGGCGCGAGTTAGGAACGGCAACGTTTCGTTGGTCCCACCCCTTGTCCCGGCGGCTTTCCCAACACTGGAAGGCGGGTCTGCGTGGGAGCGTCACGCGAGACCCGCTACACGCTTTAAGACCCGCTACACGCTCCCTCGATCTCCGTATCTTGTATGCAGTCCCATGGGATGAAACTAGCGATTGGGTACAGCCTTATCGTTTCATGTATTACCTGCAAGAATGGAGTCAAAGCAGATCAAGTCAAAAGTCAACATTCAAAAGTTGGGTTGACATGGAAAGGGATCGTGCCCATGTCCTCACCGTACTCCCCACGTGAGACCCGCTACACGCTTTAAGACCCGCTAAGGAAAGGATAAAAAAAACTTCCCCTACTCCCGTACTCCCCACGCGAGACCTGCTACACGCTTTAAAACCCACTTCGTAAGGTGGGTTGACATGGAAAGGGATCGTGCCCATGTCCTCACCCTTTGAAGTGAGCTTTCTTTCAGTGGAGCTTTCTTTCCCATTCTCTCCATTTGATTTTAAACTTGCAAACTGCTCAGCTCTCACCTATCCTTACCCCCAACCTGTACTTTCTACAAGAGGGGGAATCCGATGAAAAAACAAACCCCCCCAGGCCTTGAGAGCCTTCAGTTGTTAAAGATTTGATTTGCATTAAGAATTAGGAACAGTCCCATTGAGCTCCGGCTGCGAGGTGGTTTCGGGATCTGATGCCTGAGATGGGGGGTCTCTATACTTCACCAGCTGATTGCCACCATCCAATCTCCCTTCCTAGACATAGACTAGTGGGGCGTGCATCTTCGATTGCAGAGAGAACCCAAGCTCTTCACCTCAACTCCTTTGGTCCTTACTCTATAATGTTCACTAGGCAGCCTACGACAGTCAAAGGCATCCTTGAAAAAACAAAGAAAGCTTCAGACTCTCTCTCTCTCTCTCTCTCTCTCTCTCTCTCTCTCTCTCTCTCTCTCTC